TGAATTGTATCAGCTAAAGTTGCAGTGCGTAAAAAATCAGTCCAGCTCAATACAAAAAGCTCTTTTAAAAATGAATTAATCTGTTAACTTCCATTGTTGAAGGAACAAAATAAACATGACCCATTTGTGCTATTCTTAGTTTTGTTTTCCTCTTGAATAGGGTGTCCTTTTTGGGGTTTGTGCCTTATGCCTAATAGGGTATCAATTTTCATTTGCTTCATCCTTAAATTAAGGGTCAGGGCTCATGACCCTTTGCAGCACACACCTATCCAAAATTTATGGGAGTACCTCCTCCTCCCCTGGGAGGACAGCATAACAATCATTGATTAATCTAGCTACCCTTTCCTTGCCCAACATCATATACTCCTTTATGAATGGTAAGTACAGCATCTCTCTGTAACTGTAAGCAATGTGGCCTAGTTCAGTAACTCTCACTCCATGTATCTTGTGTCCACACAAAGTACAGTTGAATCTAAATTTTCACAAATCTTCTCCATTATGTTAACATGGGTGTATTTGATTTGCAGGTCATGTTGTGGTTGGTCCCATTACTGCACAGTCTAAACCCAGCCCACTCCCCCCTGGTTTAGTAGATTTTATCAACAGTGCAGGAGGGAATGGATTCATTATTGCTTCTTTTGGGTCTTATGCACAAACAGTTATTTCCAAGGCAAAGATTGACATCTTGGCCTCAGCTTTTGGAAAGTTGAAGCAGAAAGTAGTATGGAAGCTCAAAGGTAACCAGTTAACACTGTGACTTGCTTGCAAAGGCTATATTTTGTTTATATAATTATAGACATCATTTTGTTAAGAAAATCTCTTTTTCTCGTTTTGTGTAAAGGCTACATACCTTCAGTTCTCAATGCCAATATCAAAGTGGTGTCATGGTTACCTCAGAATGATCTGTTGGCTCACAAGGACATCAAGGTTTTTGTCTCCCATGTGGGACACCACAGTCTCTATGAGTCAGCGTACCATGGTGTCCCTGTGGTGGCTATTCCCTTATTTGGAGATCAGCCTTCTAACGCTAAGAAAGCAGAGTACTTTGGACTTGGAATAGCTGTGGATCACCAAACTGTGAATGCCCAGCAACTGATAGAGGCAATAGAGAGTGTTGTTAATGAACCAAGGTATTGATAGCTTTTGTTTAAGCTTTAAGTGTATAACTATCAAGTTTCGGAGATTTCCCTGCTAACGCCTGCAGCTCACAAGGATGCTCTTAAAACATTTGAGTGTCCCTAACTTCTCACAGTGGAATCATTTTCAAATATTTTAAAGTTACTGTATAATTTTTCAATGTAATAACTTAAACCAAATGCAAATAGCTGGTCAAACTGTTCTGTTCAAACCTCATTTCTAGATTTAAAACCAAGGCCATGCACATTTCTCAGCTGATGAGAGACAGTCCAAGGACCCCGTTGGAGAAAACTGGTGACTGGATAGAGTATGTACTCAGACATGGAGGAGCCCGGCACCTCA